GCTGCCTGCCCGGCATGGCGGCACCGGCATACGTGACCCTCTCGACCGTACCGCAGCCGCCTACCCCGCTTCCCGCGCGAGCACCAAGGTGGTCTCCAAGTCCGTTCAAGGCAAGGCTCCGTTCCACCCTGGCGACCATCGTGTTACCATCCGCCACGCCCTCACCCGGAGCAAGCAGCAGCAGGACGTCGCCCACAAGACTAAGAGGGAGGCCGTCCTGCCGCACATCGACCGCCGGCGCCATCGCGTCCTCTCCCACAGTGCCGAGTACAAGACGTCCGGCTGGCTGACCACCCTCGCGTCGACAGACAACAACAACACTGGTCTTGATGCTGCGGAGTTTCGAGATGCCCTCAACATGCGTCACGGCCGTCACCCCCCCGGCCTCGCTGCACGCTGCGACCACTGCAACCAGCCCCTCACCGTCGACCATGCACTGTGCTGCAAGCGGTACGGCCTGGTGATTCGTCGCCACAACGAGCTGCAGGACACTTTCGCCGAGCTGATTGGGATGGCGTGGGGGGACGCTGGTGTGCGTCGGGAGGTGGTGTTGAAGGAGGGAGAGGAGGGGGAGGGCGGGGTCAGAGCGAACATCGTCGCTCGGGGCGTGTGGGAGCGGCAGGCGGCTGCGTCGTTTGACATCTGTATTACGGATCCTGACGCAATGTCTTACGCTTCCAAGAACCGATCGACCAAGTCCATCCTGAAGCAGCACGAGACCGCCAAGAAGAAGAAATACCGCTCGGCCGTCTGCGACTCCCGCGTGACCTTCTGCCCTCTGGTGGTGACGTGTGACGGTGTGTGGGGACACGATGCCAACGTGTTCATCGCCCACATGGCTCATGCGCTGTTGGAGAAGGAGGGGTGGAAGGGTCGGGGGTTCAGTCATGTGTCTGGATGGATTCGCTCTCGCTTGTCTATCGCCCTCGCGCGTGCGACTAGCTTCTGTCTGCGTGGGGGAGGGAGGGGAGGGTTTGCAGGACTGGGGTGTGCTGATGGGGCGGGGATTGATCCCTCCTCCCCTTGAGCGTTTGACTCTGCGTGCTCATGGGACTGTATTTGTATGAGTATCACGGACACACAGACGAGTGTTACGGTTAATGCAAGTTGTCTCTCTTCATTCTTTACCACAATTCTCTATAGTGACATTCGAGTTGTATCACGTTTGCCCTGGATATAGCTCGACTTTGGCTACAAATCTGATTCCATTTTTCCTGGCTTTTTCCTGGCAATGGCCGATCATACTCATCGGCCGCAATCACCTGAGTGCTCACATTGCTCGCGTAGCTCAGTACAGCTCGATGTTTTCCACCCATTGAGACCAATATATACTCTTGAGCTGCAGCTTGATCATCTGCTCCCCCCGCTCCGCCTCCACTCGGTTTCCGTCGCCCTTCATCGTGTGGTTTTCTTTGATCAAGTGAGCCTTCTTGTCAATCGACTCGTGTGCTTGCGTATTTAGGAGGCCATACGGGGGTGTCTTCCCGTCCATCGACCGGACTAGGTGTGAGAGCACACGATTCTCGAGTAGATGCGTCGACGGCGTGTAGATGTTGAGCCGCTCTACTTTGGCGGAGTAGTAGAGACATTAGAATCGGAGACAGCGAATGAGCAGAGACACGTACGGCAAATGAAAAAGATGCACTAACATTGTCAAGCCAAAGACCTTCATCTGCCAGAGATAGCGACGGATAGCCGGACCCTACCTTCATCCTCTCCCTGAGGATTTCCCCGGGACTCCCCGCCGTTTCCGTTGCTGCTGCTGCAGTGGCATCGGACGCTGTGCTGTCTGTTATGGGGGAGACACCGCAAGAATGGGGACTTGGACTTGGAATGTAGATGAAGGACTTGACCTACCGACCCGACCCGTCAGTCAGTCGCTACGACAAAACGACTCTCATACGTAAATCAGCGTGTGTGAGCAAAGCAGAACACTCTCCCTCATCCCCTGCGTCTAGTCGACAATCAACTGCGCAAAGTCCATGTAAGCCCCCTGAGCCAAACTGTGAGGAAATGCCTCCTTCCTGCCTGTCTGTATGACCCCTTGCAGCGAGTGCAGCATCTTCATTTTCCACAGTGCCGCCACATAATCGGACTTATTCAGCTCACATTCGCCAGTGTCTTCGAAGAAGAAGAATGTCTCGCACGTATCGCTGTCCGCACATGCCCTGCCGCAATCGTTGACGGTTGCCACGTCCACCACGGGGCTCTCCCGCCCCGGCTTTGGTCTGGCCAGGTGTTGTCTCAGACTGATGTCGGGCTGGTAGCAGCGCCAGGGCACTGACCCGGCGGGAGGGGATAGAGCACCAGCACCAGCCGGCTCATCGTCGGACGACAAGACCATTGGGCGTCGTACGACGCTCTGTGTGTTCTGCACCTTTTGTGGCCCACCCTTGAGCGTCTTGGAGGGCCTGAGACGCTTGCCATCGCCCTTAACGGGTACCACACGCACATACAAGTCACAGTGAAGTCATCCGCGACCATGGCGTCCGCGAGTTCCTTAAGTGTGATGATTTCCTCGAAGGCGGTCTTGTTGCGCTCGATCAGTGGTTTGCCGAGAGGAGATGGCGCCACTTGCTGATGCCTTGTTAAAGAATATCCGAAGAGACGGAGAGAGGAGAAAAAAGGTTGATTGAAGGTACGTACCTGTAACCGCATTGAACGAGAAGTGGATAGTCCAGCAAGGCCCCGACCGGTGTCCGTGTTGGCGTCGCTGCAGAGAAGCAGCCTGGGCCGCTCCGCCGAGGACCCCTCCCTGAGGTGCAGCAGCTGACCTCGATGGGCAACAAAGCCCTCGAACTCGCGGACGATCCTGGCCTCCTCCTCGTATGTGACTTCCGTAAAGAAGGGCCCAACCTTGCCCCAAGTTATCAGCACGGTTGGGGGATTGCCTCTGTGGAAGATTGGAGACGGGACCCATTCAGCGATTCACTCACGGCAGCAGATAGACATGACGCAAATTCTTACTCTCCGTTGTCGACCATTTGGACGCCTCCGCAACAGGGGCTGATGAGCCTACATGAAGGAGCGACCATTCCGTCCTCCTCCCTCTCGCCCTCTCTCAGGTTGGTTACTTCATGGGGTGCGTGAAGGACCACACTTTCGTGGCGGTCATGTTTTTTGGCTCCAACTGCAGCCCGAGCACCCGAGAGAGTCTCCCTGTCCCGACGGTAAACATGTTCCTGTTGTCATACCTGCACTCCACACATGTATATACACATGTATACACTCCTCCCGTGTGCAGTGCCGCTGACATGAGAATGTTGCCGTCCGACAGCTGCTGCGCAGGATGTTGTCCGAAGAACGGAGGGTCCATGAAAGTGAAGTCACTACATGGCAGGCGAACAGAAGGGGATGCAGACTCATATGAAGGCGATGCTACTGCATAGAAAAATGCAGACGCATATGGGCAGCAATGGGGGGGGAGAGATAATTGACAGATGGCATCCATGCACTCGCTTGTCCAAATCGCCTCCATGAATCTATCCACATATGCCTATGCACAAAGGGCACGCTCACTCATCCGATGAGAACACCCCAGCCCCGTCCATCGCCCCAACACCACGCCATGACTGCCTCCCGCCCCTCAAACACAGGCTAGCAGCCCGCACCAATGCAACAGACAAACGAGCACGCAGCCACCCA